GCTGGACATCCATCCCCAAGGGCCCTGTTCTGCCACTGCTGACAGTGTCAGCTGCGACACATGGACACAGTCTCCAGCCCCCACGTCACTTTAGGTTACCTTAGTTTTCTGGGCCCCAGCAAGCAGGCTCCCTGGAAACAGCTCCCCGGGCCACTCCTGTCCAGAGTTGGAAGCAGGGCTGTCTTTATAATGGTTCCTACTGTTAGATCTGCAGCAAAATGACAGGAGCAGTGAGCGGGGTCCTGGGCAAGCCAGCAAGGCTGAAGCACTCTCCGCCGGAAGCTGACCTGCTCCAAAGCATGGTCAGGTGCCATGTCAGCCTGGGTGCCATAGGAGAAAGCATTTTCCTCCCACTCGCCACCTCAATCTACTAATCCCAGGAAAAGCAGGAGTGCTTGAGTTCCACAGCTCAGTGGCTGGAAGCGGCCTCAGGTCCTGATGAGAAGGGTTGGTCTCTACAGCCTGACATTCTGGAATGACTTACATCAGAGTGTTTAGGTTGGTGAATTCCAGAGCTGCGAGCACCAGGACGGATGCTTGGGCAAAACTCTCTTCCCTGTGTTGTCTTACCACGGGGAGATGGCCCATTCTCAGGGCTCAGGAGTAGGCTGAGGAGAAGCACCCCAGCCCCAGGTAGGTTCTCATGACCTAATCATGAGAGCTTTTTCTAGGCCATATCTGTTCTGAGGCCAACACAGAATTAAAGTCCTCTTTTAGGACAGACTTCAGGGAACCTCACAGGACTCAGACTTGCCCAGCTTTGGGAACAGACTCTCAGTGATAAGAATCTCTCTTCCCAGGGTCCATATTAACAGTGGACCAGGACCATCCTTGGATACTCCCATATCCCTGTGGCTGAAACAAAGGTACACAGGCTTCTGGAGGTAAGAGACCAGCATCAGACGCCAGAAGATTTGCTCAACATAGTCTGAGTTTGACAACATCATGTCAAACTGGCCTCTCCTTTTGCACTTACTGGAAGTGGGTCTCACTATTTGTTCCAAATGGACTGTGCTGGTTTTCATAATGATGTTCATCAAGGTACTTTTGCTCTCGGTAATCTTCATGCCAGATATAAGGACTCCTTTGCCTTGGCACTGCACCCTCAGAGAAAACAGAATCAAGACAGGTCACTTCCTGTTTCTGAAAGTTCTTAGAAAGATATTAGTGAGCTGTGAGGAGTTCCTAGAGCACAGTAGATCTAAAAACATATTTTCCAAATTGAAAAAATAGATAGGTGAGAGCTAATGATGAAAGTCCATAGGACGCCTCTCAGTCCCCTCTGAACTAATTAGCGTGGATCTATACAACCGCACAACAATGGGGATTGGTGTGTACATGTGTGGGGGGCAGGTAGGGGTGTGTGTGTGTGTGTGTTCAATGTTGAAACAGATTTATCTTTGCTAGCAGTTCAGACGCTGCCATTAAGACACACCCTATACTTATTAGTATAGGGAAGAACACTCCTTTGGGTGCATATCTGCTGTCCTCAGGGTGAAGTGACAGACTCCTACTATAGCCCAGCAGATGTCCTTAAGAACTGACTTCACTGTTACTTGGTCGAAGACTATAATCTTGGCTATAAGGCAAAGTAGAAGAAAAAATGTGGATGAAGTGCAAACTACCCATAGTACTAGTAACAGTACCATCATCTGTGCAAACAAAGGAAAACAACTCCTTTATGTCTCTTCTCAGGACATCGAGGAGGAGTGTTTCTGCTGTGGTCTCGTCTGGCCAAGAAAAGATGTGCAAGGTGAGGGTCTGAACATGGCTCCGTCGGTCTCTCCCCTGCCTCTCAGACCAGCTGCCCCATCCCCAAATCCCAGAGGCTTCTTGGAGACTTTTCCATACCTCTTTCTTCCTGCAGCCACTGCGGGTGTCCGTGATAGTAGTAACTTCCATAAGCATATTCCTCCCTCGTTGTGGGAGAGTGATAGCCCTGATATGAATTCTCATACCCTGGCCTAAAATAGCACAAAGAAGACTGGTCAGTTGAGGACAAGGGTGGTAAAGACAGAAACCAATGGAAGACTTGACAAACTGAACAGCTTCAGAGGACAGAGTTGTGACCCAGCCTAGAATCTGCTTGAAAGCCATGGTTAATTCTAGATCCTATAAACAGAATCAGAGCAAGAGTCAGGCCTTTGTTGCATAACAAGAGTAGAATTTTTATAGTAAAATTTTTTTACTTAAAACTCTTTTCTAAAAACCTCTTTTTTATTTAAAACTCTTTTACTTTATAGTAAAACTCTCACTCCTCAAATACATACATATTATCTTAGAACACTCTGTCCTGACATTATCTGAGAAAATCACTTCCTGAGACGACTGTGTTAAGTCTCCAATACACCACTGTAACTTCCATGCTTATTCCAGATGGCATTGAGATTAAAAAGTCAAACTGGACTATCTTAAGTCTGATTACTTTTATTGCCTCTGTCCTGAACATGCCTCTCTTTGAGAATTCAACAATCCAAAAAGACTGGGGAGAGGACCATCATAATACTAATGTTTTTATCAATTAGTAATTTTTTTTTTTTTTTTTGAGACAGAGTCTCACTCTGTCACCCAGGTTGGAGTGCAGTGGCATGATCTCGGCTCACTGCAATCTCCATCTCCCAGGTTCAAGTGATTCTCACATCTCAGCTACCCAAGTAGCTGGGATTACAGGTGTGCACCACCACGCCCAGCTAATTTTGTTTTGTTTTGTTTTGTATTTTTAGTAGAGACAGGGTTTCACCATGTTGGACAGGCTGGTCTCGAGCTCCCAACCTCAGATGATCCGCCTGCCTTGGCTTCCCAAAGTGCTGGGATTACAGGCGTGAGCCACTGCACCTAGCCCAATTAGTAATTCTTTAGTATTTCTTAGGGACAAATTTCTTTATAATAATAGTCGTAATTTCAACCCTGAATCTGTAAGCAGGTAAATATTACCCCTAAAGTAGAACATAGATGGCTTCCAACATTCTGTGAAATATTAAGTCCAGTGCTACAGACCAGGGAAACAGGAATTCCAGATTCTCCAACCTGAATAGAATGACCTCACTGCAACCTCTGCCTTCCAAACTTGCAGCCTCCAAGTTTCTATCTGCTTTCCCTAAGGTCGATTTTTTTAAAGTTCCCATTCATTCAATATGGATTATTGGTATGCCTGTTACATTCCGGGTACTGTGGTAGGAACTAGGACTCTTCTTGGTGCCGGTAGTGTCATGCTAATCCCAAGGCAGAGTGGTCTAATGACAATGAGGAACTCCTTATAGGGATCTCCAAGAAAAGCTTTTCCATAGTCTACATATACTACCTTTTGCAATCCCAGAGCAAGAGGGTTCCATCTGCTCTTTTGAATTTCACCACTTTTCTTCCTTCTACACTGCCCCCCGCAAACCCCCAATACTCAATTGCATTTGTGATGGCTTCTTTAAGAAGCTCCACTAGGGAATAAAGAGGAGAGAAATACTATCTTCAGTCATCAGAAACAAATTTGGGAGAGGACAGGATTTAGCTAAAGCCATGTAGTAAGGCAGAGAAGGAAAAAGAAAAAAGGAGGAGAAAAATAAAAGGAAAAGGAAGAAGGAAAAGAACAATCTATTCATAAGCATTTAGGAGAGTTGCATTCATTCCAAGCCCTAAAGCCATACCTTGAATACAACTGACTGGGATAACCACTTTCGTAATAGTCAATTCTAGACAGAGGCTGATGCCAGTCCCCAGGCCTGGAGGCATAATGGGACTGTTGATGGTCTGTCCTGGGCTCCTGCTGTGGCTGGGGGCTCCCACGGTTGTCTTGCCATTGGTGAAACCTCTCTCCATTGTGCCGAGAGTGAGGGACAGGCCGATGATGTCCATCTCTCCAAAACCCTCGGTCTGGATCCTTTGAGGGTGCTGTGACCTTCCCTTGTGTCTGGGGCAGCCTCTGGGGAGCCCAAAGTTCCATCACTGACTCTCTGAATTTGTCTTGGGTTTTGAGTAAGTTGTGTAGTTATTTTATCTTCCTGCAGACAAAAGAAAAAGGAAAAAAATCATCATTTGAAACCTATATCCAAACATAGTGGTTGATTAGGTTTTGTGAAAAGAGCAGCTATGGTCCTCAAAATCTGTCTAAAACAAACCATATGGTCACGGATACAGAAAAATCTGAAAAAAAAAATCTCAGATACATGAAGCAAATAACAGACTAGACAATTATATTGATATTGCTTAAAAAATTAAAAAGTACGTTTGGAACAACGACAGATGGGGGAGGCATGGGAGACAGATAACAGTAATAGGTACAGCTAAAAATGCTATCAAGGAATCCCAGTTGATGTTTCTTCACATATTCCCCCAGCAAGTGTTTATTTAACACTTACAGTGGAGGCCCTGTGGTATCATATATAGAGTGGGTCTTGCAGAGAGCTAGATCAGAGTTCAAATCCTAACTCTACCACTTAACTAGCTAGTTCATTTTTTCAAGCCTCAATTTCCTTACCCATGAAATAGAGACTGTAATGACTACCTCGCAAGGTTATTGACAGAGTTAAAGATAACCTCTGCAAAGTGCCTGACATGTTACCCAACATGTTAAAGTGCTCAATAAATAGTAGTGTTATCAAGGATAAAGATGAGGGTAGTATGAGTGGCTGAAGATGTTTACTAAAGAAAAAGAAGTTTAGGCCGGGCATGGTGGCTCACGCCTGTAATCTCAGCACTTGGGGAGGCCGAGATGGGCGGATCACGAGGTCAGGAGATCGAGACCACCCTGGCTAACATGGTGAAACCCCGTCTCTACTAAAAATACAAAAATTAGCCGGGCGCAGTGGTGGGCACCTGTAGTCCCAGCTACACGGGAGGCTGAGGCAGGAGAATGGCGTGCTCAGTGGTGGGCACCTGTAGTCCCAGCTACACGGGAGGCTGAGGCAGGAGAATGGTGTGAACCTGGGAGGCGGAGCTTGCAGTGAGTGGAGATCGCACCACTGCACTCCAGCCTGGGCGACAGAGCAAGACTCCGTCTCAAAAAAAAAAAAAAGAAAAGAAGAGAAAAAGAAGTTTAGACTGACCTTTTCAAGAAGCACCTTTTCTGAATCCTTACGTTAACCCCCCAAAGAACTAGAACCTATATAATATGGTCATCCCTGCTCCTCCAGAGAAGCCAACAAGAGGCAAATTTGGGATTGTTTTCATAAAAAATTAGAAGGCCATGTCTCAGGATTCTTCCTGGCTGGAGATTTTAAATCCTGGAAGTCTCCCTAGCATCAAACTAATTTTCCCCCACATCCCCACGTATTCCCTGAAAAAGGAAAATTGCTCCAAGGACTGATTACCTTCCAGATTCCTCTGCTCATAGCACGGGGTGGTGGGGGGCAGGGGTTGCACCTGCCAAAGGAAAGCACGCCTCAGATCTTACTCTTGCTCAGGATTCTCTTGTGTCAGGAGCATCCACAGGCTAGGTCGGCCTCGATTTTTTCTTCCTTAGAAACTGTTTTAGGTTGCAAGATTCTGATCAAATCAGTTAACTTGTTTCCACTACTAAAGGTCCCAGCCTCACATAAAAATTCATATCAGAACAAAAGGTCAAAAGGGTGGGTGTTGAAATCGAGACGTCACTCTGCTCAAACACCAGGGAGCCAGGGTCGACAGCTATGAGCCAAGAGCTATGAGACAGCAGAACACACAAGAAGAGCAAGGTGCAGAGGGGGCCTCCCACCTCAAGGTCACTCACAACTCAGGGGAACCTGTGGCTTCCTTCCCATGTCAGCTCACTCCCTTGAAAAAGCCAGGTGCAATGACAGCCTTTGCCAGCAAATCCCAGGAAAGGCCAAATGTCCCAGACACAAGGAAGGGTACATGAGCCTTTTCTGAAGGCTGGTGGAACTCAAAACCATTTGGACCAAGTAAGCGGAATGAGAAGAAACCTGCTTTCTCCTTGTCCCCAGATAGTCTTACTAGGCAGCCCTTCCCCAAATGCAAAGGTGCAACACCCAATATTTCCACTGAAATCACATCATTTTGCTGCCAAGAGACATCAACTCCAGCAAATCAGTCCTCAGATTAAGGACACCAAATAAATAGCACCTTCGATTCTCAAAATGAAGAAATTACATCTATGATGACAAATCACACTCACACATTCACATAAATGACCTTTCCTCGCCCCGGTAAAGGCCATCTCGCCTTTCCTAATCTGATGGCACAGCACGTCCAGCTCAAAGAAGGGAAAGAAGGGAGCAAGTGTTCCCACACACCTGCTCCGATGGCTTCCCACCTTCCTTCAGCGCTGCTCCAGGGACCTGGCCTAAGAGTGCCCCCTCTCCTCTTGGAGACTGTCAAAGTCCAGGTGCCACATCTACCACGACTCACCGGGCCCTCAGATCTACAGCATGTCAGTTACCTTTGCAACTGCCCAGCCTCCATGGAGCTGATTCATTAGGGCAAAGTACAGCCCAGACACTGCAGTCCGGGACCCGCCTGACTTGAAGAATTTGCTCTGAACGCTGTCAGAGACTGGCGCTTCTGTTTGCCTGAGCATGGACTGAGCCAGGTTCACTCATATGAGAAATCATTCAAATTCCCACAGCAATCACGGAAGAGAGACATCAGGAAGAGGAAGTCCAGAAGCCCCGAGGCAGCCGGGTCTGGCGCGAAAAGCACCACCTTTGGGGTGTTAACCCGGGGCTGTTCCACTAGCTGGTTCTGTTACTTAACCTCTCTGAGTTTCAGTTTCTTTTTCTTTAAAATGGGAATGCCAATGCTTAGCTTATGAGGGTCATTACGAGGATGAAATGTTGGTAAAGCATCACATGATATATAGGTAAGTATGCCCTGCAGATCAATATTATCTTTTCCTTTCCAAAGAGAGGAGTTAATTCCACTGGTTGAGGTGCATGGGGAAGGGGACATGTTTGCTGGTGGGAGTAAACACCTGGTTTGCCCAGTGTGGGTTTTTCTCATGTATGTTTCTCTCCATTGGGCTCTGGTTGTGTAATACATTCTGTTATCTAGCTAGAAGGCAGATTTATATCCCCAATATTGAACTGAAGGCACTAAAAAGTTTTCCATTATAACAAGAAAGTAGTTTCTCGCGCTTGAAATACACATTTCTTCTGCAATATCAAGGTAAACATGGAGAAACACATGACTACTTCTGAATTAATATTTTAAAATTCTGAATTTTAAAAAATCCCAAATGGTTTATTCTTTCTCTCAACAAATACTTACTGTGTTCCTATTAAGGGCCAGGATTTGACACACATAAATATAAAGGACACAAATTAGCCTCTCATATCTGTCATTACTAGTCCAGGGAAAACCACCCTCTTGGGTCTCATGGTCGTATAGGGTCATGTATCTAAGCTACAGGATTTTCTCTCAGCCCCTCAGCTGACTCTAGAACCCAGCAACTGAGTGTAGAATTCTCTGACTGCAGCTAATGGTTTATTTTTTTTTTTTTCCCAAGACAGAGTCTTCCTCTGTCACCCAGGCTGGAGTGCAGTGGCGCAATCTCGGCTCACTGCAACCTCCACCTCCGGGTTTAAGCAATTCTCCTGCCTCAGCCTCCCAAGTAGCTGGGATTACAGGCACGGGCCACCACGCCTGGCTAATTTTTGTATTTTTAGTAAAGACGGGATTTCATCATGTTGGCCAGGCTGGTCTCAAACTCCTGACCTTGTGATCCACCCGCCTCAGCCTCCCAAAGTGCTGGAATTACAGGCATGAGCCACCGTGCCCAGCCGTTAATGGTTTCTTACCTCACTCTTGGTCTGTGAAGTTTGGCTCTCTAATGGCTGCACTGTTGTTTTTAATCCTTCTGGGAAGAGGAACTAGAGAAGGACACACACATCGACAGCAGGAATCAGAACGTGGGTGATGATTACACTGACTTGATATCAAATTATATGTTCTGATATATCACAATAACATTCATAAAAGTTCTTGATGTCACTCTTTTGGCATATAATGTGACATTAGTCTTGCCCTATAACACCAGCTGCATTATCGGAATGTTAACTTTGAAAAGGACCTTAGAGGTTATTTTAGCAACTTTGCTTTTTTGATGATAAAACCAAGATCCAAAGAAGTGAAATGACTTACCCAAGATCACAAAATTAACTAGAAGTCCAGTGAAAATTACACTGGTGTGCTCTAGCTGCCTTGCACAAGGTTAATAAGAGCTGATTATTAAATATTCAGGAATTATGTGAGCCAGTTGTTAAACCGTGGAAAACTTGAAATCCACCATGGTGGGAGTATTTACACCACAGAAATTGGCAAATGCTACAAAGCGAGGTTGTTGGTGGGTTGTTGGTTTTTTCAGAGAATCTGTTTAGCAGCATACTGATTTTAACCCCAAACACTTCCTGATTCAGTGTTCTTGCAATTATAGAATTGCCCTTCTGTTCCTAGCCTTCAGTGCACAACACTGGCTTAAACATCTAGTCAAATTATTCCAAATGCTTCTTTTGTGACATCCCAAAGTATCTCTAATTATCTCTAGAGTTATTATGAAACTCTTCAAACACTCACCAACCACAATTAATTCTAATTAGCTTTAATTATTCTATATAGACATATGGCATACAACAGTTATATGGGTCACAAAATTAAGTAGATTGTGGTGGGATCTCACCGCTCCAAAGGGTTTGGGATTTATCATTTCCTACCTTCCCAGCCCTACATAACTACAACTACTAAGTCTTTCAGCCCGGCAGCTCAATTATTCCTGATTTCTAAACCAAATTGACCCAGATTGACAATATACTAGGAGTTCAGTCCCCACCAGGAGGTGGACCAGAATGAGTCTTGCCACCCCAAGTCCTGGCTGCAGTGTTCTTGGATAATCCAGTAGCCTCCCTCATGCCCAAATGGCTACAGTCTTCATATTATCCTGCCCCAGGTGCTCTGTCCTCATACCTGATTCCTGCTCTGCATCCCAACTATGTACCAGGATTGGAATCCTAGAAGTTTACTAATTTATGTGAATTTCCTTTCCCAGTCTCCGTCCTCCTTTCCAAATGCCAGACAGCACTGTCTAGGGTCTAGCTTCAAACAAGAGTAACTGCCTACTGTGAACTGAATGTTTGTTTCTTCCCAAAATTTGTATGTTGAAATCCTAACCCCCAATGTATTAGGGGGTAGGCCTCTGAAAGGTCGTGAGAGTGGAGCCCTTGTCAATGGAATTAGTTCCCTTATAAAAAAGACACAAAAGGGTTTGCTTCTCCTCTCTCTCTCTGCTCTCTGATATGTAAGAATACAAACAAAAGATAGCCACCTGCAAACCAGGAAGTGGCCCTCACCAGACACCAGATCTGCTGGAATCTTGATCTTGGACTTCCCAGCCTCCAGAAGGGTGAGAAATAAATTTATGTTGTTTAAGCCACCTAGTTTATGGTTTTCTGTTACAGTAACCCGAACTAAGACACTACCCTAGTTTGACACCTGTCTAGCAAAAGTATTATCACTGTTAATGATGCTGCTAATGTCTAGCCACCGGATTAGTGCTGATGGATGTGAGCACCCACCTAGATCCAGGTCAGGTTTGCCATGAATCCTTGAGCACTGTGATTTAATGACTGGTTACTCTTGCAAAGGGCAGCTCATCATTTAAGACATCCCCCAGGCTTCATCCTATTCCTTTACTGAAAGTAACAATTTAGAAAACAAGCTGAGAAGATGTGCATCAATGTGTTATCAGTAGTTATCCACTGGGTAATGGAATGATGGATGATTTTATTTTCTTCCTCTTGCTTATCCATATTTTCTAACTTTTCTACAATAAGTGTATATTATTTTAAAAGGCAAAATTAACTAACCTTATTTTTAATCAATAGTATTAGTTCAACCACCAAATGTGTTATTGTCACATCAGTAACTAATTAGGCATTCAAGCTGCTAAAATGGGACAGTGCTCAAAGCTTCCAAGATTGATTAACTGTGCTCAGTCTGCTCTTCTTGATAGAGGTTGAGTCATTTATTCACTGAACAAGTGTTTATTGAACACCTACTATATGCCCATCATTATCACATGCACTGGGGATACAAAGATAAATAACATGCAATATCTGCCCCCAAAGAAGCTCTCAATTCAGTAGAGCAGTAGACATTGAATCATAATACAATCAGTCACAGTATACTGCAATCGTAATACAATGCAATCATCATTCTAATGGATATATCACTGATTTTTCTAATAGAAGAAGCACAGGGGAAAGCAGGAGACTAGAAACAGTAAGTGTGCTATTCAAGGTTATTCCACAAATCAAGCAGGACAGATGAATGCCTGAACAAGAGCAGCTGTGAAGAGACTGGAGGAGAAGGGACATATAGAATACATATATGTTTATAAAATATAATGAACATGCATTGATGGTCTGTTGACTGTAGAAGATGAGGGAGAAGGAAAAGTCAAGAATGATCCAAGTTTTCAGGCTGTGGAGATGAGATCATGTTACCTTTTTTTTAATTTTTGGCTAATCATCTTAGAAGAGGAGCCAGTTTGGTGGGGAAGATGATATGTTCAGTTTTGTACATGCTGACTGTGAGGGGCCTGTGGGACACAGAGGTGAGTGTGGTCAATAAGTAGTTGGCTGTAATGAGCTCAAGAGAAAGGATGGAGGAAAGACATGGTGGTTGAAGCCACAGACACAGATAGGATCACTGGAGAAAAGCTTAGAAGATAAGTCTGAGGAAGGAGCTCTGAGGTGGACACAGAAGAACTGGACACAGAAAGAGGAGCCTATGAAAGATAACATGGAGGTGCCAGAAAGATGAGCAGAGAACCAGAAGAGGATGGTATCCCAGAAGTTAGAGGTGATGGCTTTAAAAGCAGGATAGTGGTCAACAATGCCAAACTAGGAGGAATATTGAGAAAGACAACAAGTAAAAGTGTGTTCTCTGAATCACTGGATTTGACAATTAAGAGGTTTGATGATCTTAACAGGAACAATTTCAGTAGGGCCATGGTCAAGGGAGTGAGGGATTAGACATAAAAATCACTTCTACAGCACATGGAAATTAAGGAAGAGGAGGCAGCAAGTAAAATGACTCTTTCCAGAACCCTAGATGTGAAGAAAAGGGCTAGGGCTACCATGAGGCACTCAGATTTGAAGAATTGGTTTAGGGTGGACTAGCCAAGAGACAGTTTCTGCTGATTCATATGGAGAGACTGAAAAAACATTTACGGAAGGAACAAATCTCAGAGAAAATGGGTCACATGGGATCCAGAGCACAGGAGCAAAAGTTAAACCTAGCCAAGGAAGGGCACCTCTTCCTCTAAGACAGGGAAAAAGAGGTGAAGATGGGCATAGGTGAAGACAAGTTTGAACATAAGGGGACAGAAACCAAGAATTCCCTGTGGAGTAGAATGCCAAGTTCTGCTGGCCATCTCTA